CATGGTGCAATAACTATACAGTACTCATTAATACTTTATTTGCTTATTAGATACATTTATCAATTGATGTTGCATCTTTTTCATATTCTTATATAAATTGAGTTACCATATTTGTAAATATTATCTCATGTGCTAAAACACACAATTAAGCAGGAATCTAAACTATTGATTTATCTAAAGTATTATTGGATACTATTTGAACACTTTAAGGTATCATAGTCTTGATTGTTAATTTCATAGACTATTACACTTCATATAACCAATCTTCAACACCTCTTACTGCTTGCTCTGAATTCAATGGGTTTACATCTGTTATCAGTTTTATTACTTCTTATGAACTACTTATCATATGTGTTATCAACATATTCTCTTAAAAAGTAATCTCATTTATTCCTTCAAAACACTTCTACAAATGTCTTTATACAGCTCTTGGTTCTCTAGCCTACGCTAATATCTATAATAATTCTTCATTAGATAAAAAGAAGAATCTTGGAAATGCAGTTCTCTTCCTATTTAAAAAGTCATTCAAACTTTTTATTACTTAGTCTAATTACTCAATCATAAATATAAAGTTCTCTTTCATTCTATTCTGAAAACACGCTTCCATTACTAAAGGTTATTAGAAAGTTCCTAACATTAATGCTCTCCACATCTTATCAACCACTGAATATTTATTTCCCTCTTTTGGCATTTCTCTAATGATATCTTCAGAGTAAAAGATGGGTTATAAGTATTACCAAGATTTCTAAGTCTTACACCATAATTCAATCATTTCTTAGGCTCGAAATAATTGAGCCTTCCAAGAATTTACTTCCTATAACAAAAATGCTACAAATGGAGAACTAGCTATACTCATTATCTTTGTTATGTCTTCATCTAATTTATCTAAAATAGGTTCAACACTCTTTAATATATATGTATCTGTATCTCTAAACTAAATTAATTCAAATTTAATATTCTTCCATTCACTTTTCATTTTGTTAATCGATCTTTCAAATGAGCTCTATTTAGATGCTGTTTCACTTATTTCTCTGATTTCTTCTTTCAAATCCATCACTCCTCTTTCCAACAATGTATTTAATGAAAAATTAGGATCATCATCCAATTTCAATAATTATGTTAAACTAACCCAATGTTATTTCTTTAAAGCAGGATTTCTTAAGTCATTAATCAATGGCAAATATGGTTTGAAATCTTCATATAATTTTCTTATAGCCATAGTCACCTAATACATATGAGGAATTATTTTAAAAATAGTTTTCTCCAATTTAAATAACTCAGTCCATGCTTCTGTTACGTCTTGTGTTAATTAATCTCTATCTATATTATTTAATGGCCCACTCAAAGCTGGTGGTATTTTAAAATAATAATCTCTACCCAATGCCCATACTTTATAATAGGGTGTGAATAATTTTTTTATCTTTTCTACCTCTTGATAATCTGTCAACTTCCATTTTAATATTGCTTCTCTTCTATTTATTATCTCTGCTTCCTCTATAGCTCTTTCCATCTTCTCACCCAAATCAGCAAATCTATTTGCTATTTGATTTATCTAATTGATATCTTCTTCATTTATCAATTCATTTAATTCCTTACTAATATAATTTATTTCTCCTATCAACTCTCCCTATTATGTCATCAAATCATCTTAAAATTTTTTCTCATTGTTCTATAATCTTTTTAAACACTTCTCCTACTTCCTCATCAACTTTAATGGCATACCATATATGTTCCATGTCTTTTCAAAATTTTAATAACTAATCTTATAATTCATCTTCTCCATTAAAGTCATCTTTTCCATTACCTTATTTATTTTCTTACTCATTATCAATAATTCCTCTTTCAATTAATCTTTTGCATATGTCCTCAATGCATCCATTTCCTCTAAATTTTTAGGTTCTTCAGTTAATTTTTAAATCATTTATTTTATTTCACCTTCTATCTTTAAATTTTCTTTTGTTATCTTTTAAATTAAATTCTCATACAAACTATCCGAAGCTTTTCTTAATCTATCATCGCATAACTACTAATATTGTTCTACATTCAAATAATAAAATCCCAATCTCAATTTTTTCTTAAACATATACTTTTACATATCATCTCTAATCATAATTAATTTGTCTAATTCCTTAGCATATTCTTCAAAAGATCCTTTCTTTAATCTCTTTTCAATATCATAATCCAAAATTGATTCAAATTCCTTTAACTTCTCAAAATATACAGTAAAGAGATTAAAATTTAAATCTAAATATTGTTGAACAATTTATTTATTATTTAGAATTTCAGCATCATCTATGCCAGTAAATATATGCATGATCATATCATCTCTTGCCGATTCAATTTCTCTACTTCTCATACAAGGTACTGTTGTCAATTCTTTAATTGCAAGCCAAACATAATTATTTAAAGATCGCTTAATTTCTTCAGGATTAGGTTCTAAAATCAATTAAAGCCCTTGGACTTTAATTTCTATATTGATTAATAAATTATCATGAAAAATTCGATATTCTCTGTCTTTGGCATATTGATAAATTTATTGCAAAGGAGAAAGTGTGAGATCTACATCGATTTTAAGATAAGATATAAATCTTGCTATGCTTCTTTACCACATTTCTAATCCAGATCGTTCAAATTTAATGTTGATTAATTTTTAAAATTGTTACAATAATTTAAGTGTCTCACTCATTAGCCCTTACTCTTGTATTTTAAGTCTTTCTGCTTCAAGAACAATTAATCTAAGTCTTTCTTCTTCTATAACCTTAAGTTGTTTAACTTCAACTTCAATCATCTCCATAATCAAATAATGAACATCGTACATCCTAGTTTTCAAATCTCTAATTGCATCAGCAATCTTAAATTTCATATCTTTATCTAATTCATTAAGTTCTTGAGGTTCAAGATAATTTTGACAAAACAAATGTTATTCTTCTAATTTTATCAAATTAATATTTGCATCTTATAAAGCCCTATTCTTTTCTTAAACAGCTTAATGAAGATTCTTTTTCATGTATGTAAATAATTCAATAAATTTTTATTGCCCTATACCATAAGATGGAAATCGAGCTTCAACATATTTTGGTTCAAATAATTCTTCAGGTAAATAACCTTTAAAAATAGCTTTCTTTTCTTCATGATATGGCAACATTCTTTTAAATTGAATTTCATGATTTGCTCTAATAAATTATTTTTTAACCTCTTCAGACAATTCAATCATCAAATCATATCTATATTTCTTTAATTTACATAATTCTTTTGGACCCTAATCTATTCTACTTAATTATTTTGGAATCAAATATCTTTTGAAATTAAACTTAATTGATGGATCTAATTTATAGAATGCTATAGGATCTCTAACAAACCCTAACTTAAAATAAATTCCCATTGCAAATAATTGTATTCTCATTAATTAATCTTCCTAAATTTAAGATGTAGGATCATCCATTTTATCTATCATATAATTATATTTAATAAAAACTTCACTTTTCTTTCTATAATAATCTGCAATATCTAATTATTATTTGAAATATGCTTCACTTTCTCTTTTAAATCTCAAATTAACTCTTGTTACTAATTTAGTCTTATTATATTTTATAAACCTTATCTCATACATGTCTGTATCATATATATATTTCTCAACTAAACATTCTTCCCATGTAAAATTTCCATTTGTGTCAAACCACTTTGAAAATCCAAGACATTTTCCATCTTATTCCTTATACTATTCAATTAATTCATCACCTGTCTCATCTTCCATATAATAATAATCTAAAGGTAAGAATATTTATTTCATCTCAAAAGGTTGAGCCATAAATAATCTCTCTCTGTGTTTAGTTAATTCTAACTCTCCTAATTCCTCTTGTTTTTCTCTTATAATTTGCTCAGTATTTGGATTGACCTATTATCATTAGCAATCGTATTACTCTCATATATGGTGATTATAATCGTGGATCCACAGCAGAAACTTAAAAATGTTTCTTTAACATTTTCTCTTCCTTCTCTTTCAAATATTCTTCTGTATATGTTTAAATAAAATCATCTGCCTTCAACTTAATGGTTTAATAACCAGTTAAATGTTTAATTTCTTCAGGGAAATGTGGAACATAAAGATTTCTAGGTTTTGCAGATTGTAATTAACTTCTTTTTGTTCGAAATAACTGTTATTAAATTCCTTTAGAATTCTCTAACTTCTCTTCACCTATATTCAATGCTTTAATAACAAAATTAGCTGATATTGGACGAACAATCTTCTAAGAATGAGAATGTTAAATTTATGGTAATCTCTTATCCTATAAATCTTTAATCAATTATTCAGCAGGTGTTAACATATCTTTATGCTAATTTTTCATAATCTCTCTAATGTTTTATGTAAATTTCGGTTAGACTCCTCTCTCAACTCCAAACTATTATATTATTGCTACATTTATACTTCATCTAATTCACTTTAAGGTATTTTCAAATCATCTCTTCTTAAAACACCTTCATCAAATCTATCCTTTTCCCTAGGTTTCTTCATCTATCTTTATGCCTATCTTTCTATGCTTTGCAGTTTCAATTCTGTAAATGTTTTTGTGCCATCTAATAAATCTTTTATTGGAATATCCATATATGGTTATTAATTTGATTATTTGTCTGAAGCCACTGTTACAAATTCACCTGGCTTTGGTAATAATTAAATTGTTTTTGTCCCCTTAAAATAAATTTACATTTAACTTTTATCATATCATTCAACTTCGCTTAACTTGTCTTACTATTTTCATATTCCTAATATTTCTTAATTGCCTATATGTGTCTATCTTACTTGCCCTTTATATTAATATTTCTAATACCGAAGGCAATCTCTTTTAACTCATTCAAATTATTAATAATATAATTAATAATATATGTACAATTGAACAGCTAACTGTAAATAATATTCAAAAACTCTCTCTTTAACTTAACAAAACAATCTTGTCAACTCCTTTATATTTCAAGTGAAAATTTTCATATTTTTAAATAATAAAATGCTTAAATTTCTTGAAAATAGAGATCCTTAACCTATAAAGAGAGGAAAGGATATAATGAGATATGAGAGCTAAAGCCATCTCCCAAACAATCGATAGTTTAATAGTCCTTTACATTAAGATGCTTTAATCTAAAATGATAAACCAACATATTACATAACAAAAAAACTACCTCCTATACAAATCTATAATCCTTTAATTTAAACTATTGATTCTATTGAAAGACCTGAATATATCGTTAAATAAAAGGAAATCTATATTCCAAGATACTTGGATGAATATAAGACTAAAGGTTTTAAGAAGAAATAAGGAATTTTTGAGTCATATTAGCATTTATTGGCTCAGAATAAATCATTAATTGAAGGCATACATACAAACAAAAAACCATTATCCTTACCAGCTATCAGAGAACATTAAAAAGAATAATCTGTATTGAATATTCCTGCTTAATTTTCAACAAGGAGTTAAGATCGTTAAATAGTTGATTAAAGTTGTTTCAAGAGTAACCGATCTAATAAAAGTATTTAAAGTAAAGTTAAATATATCACAAACAAAAACACAAGTTCACAAAAATAAAGAATTTCACATAAATTATTAACTGAAGACAAAGGTATCTAAGTTAATATTGAGAAAACTTAAAGTCATAAGATAACAGAATAGCCAGCAGATTATATATATAACTTTAATTTGTCATATTAATAAAAATTAGAAGCTGAAGAAGAAAAAGAAAAATAAATGAGATAATTAAGTATTTTTGATAAAAAAATCAAAGAGTTCAGAGAATAATAAAAATAGAAATTGTAAAAAAAAGTAGTTTCTTGAAAAAAACTTTTGATCATTATGATAATAGCAATAGATTAATCTAAGTTTTAATAAGTAAAATTTTAAATATTTTTAAATATCTTTATTGTATAAAGCATAATAATGTTATGATCATATTTTCCAAAATTGTTTATTTTTTACCCCAACTTGTTTCTATTTTTTTTACAATTCAATCTATTTTTACTCATCTAATTATTTTATAATATTATTTGCATTTATTTTACTAATTTAAGTTTTAAGTATCCCATCGTTCTAAAAAACAAGATGATGTTCTATTTCAATTGGATTGAGCTTATATTATTTTTTGAATTAGATCTTTATCGGAATACTAAAAACATCCCATCCTTTTCTAGTTAATTAAAATGGTGGATATTTTATTATAATTTGATCTGGATCAAAAGTTTCATCTAAATAAAACGTCACACTTTCAATTAAATCCAATAATTTCATTTGATTTAAAGTAGCTTAATCATATATGTTAGTATAATCAAGATTTACAAAAACAGTCCATAAGTGTTTGTTATTTTTCTCTTCCTCCAAGTAGTTATAAGAATTGCCATAATTAACTCTAATTCTCATTTCATTCTGTTTCTATTATTGAATTTTGGTAATTTCTTCTTGTCTTAGAAGAAATTCTTCTTTGAAATAAGTCTAAACCAAGATTTGCGTTTCTTAATCAATTTAAAAAGGGCTATTATTATTCATAAATTCATTTCGACACATAGGACATTTATATTAAAGGAAATTAAAATCAACTAAATTAAGCAGGCAAGATAAGCAAAAAATATGTTGACATTATAATTTGCAAGGTTCTACAAAAACTCCTAAACAAATTGGACATGTGTAATTATCTTTAGATATCATAAAATTAATTAAAATAATTAAATACTTTTGAAATAAATTTAAACTTCTATGATCATGTCCATTAAATTCTGATCGTAAATTATTATTTCTAATGATTATTAAATATACACTTAATAATCTTTTTTGCATTGAATCAACAACAACAATACTTATTTCTCATTTTTAGTCTACTAATTTTGAATTTATTTATAATTAAACTTAACTACACCATTCTTTTTAAAAAAAAGGATAAACATTATGTTAAGAGTCCTTTTAAATTTATTATTAATAAAATTTTAAGTTATTAATTTTAAAATTTATTCAATAGCTTTTATTTGAGAATTATTAAGTATAATTGTAATACTCAATGTTTTAACTCATCTTTGGACACTATAATTTTTGAATTATAGTCATCATTTATTTGAAATTAGACTGATTCAGATTTTAATTTACCAAAAAATTTAGTGTTAGGAAACCATAAATAATTTATGTGAAAATTTAACAAAATTTGTCCAAGTATGATGTATTTAATCAATAAATATGAACTTGAATTAATGTACAATCAATATAAAATTAAATCTCATAATAATTTTAACAGAAGTGTTGAATTAATGAAATATTCGAATCCTAAGAAATTGTCAATTCATTTAGATTTCGCAGCATTCAAAGCTGAATTATAGAATTCTTTACCTTCATCAACTAAAAAAATAAGTACCTAACCAAATAGTCCAAATGGAATTACCAAGAATATCAAAAGTTAATAACCTTTGATACTAGTATAAAGCTCCCATTCAAATTAAAATTTATTGTCTCCATAAAAGAAGAAGTAAACAGATTTAGAAAGTACTTTCAGCAGATTTCCTCTTCTAGTTGATTAATTTGTTAAGTTATACAATTTAAGCAAAAGTGAGATAAATGAATTGACTGGATTTAAATAAGTAACAATACTTGAAATATTAGGTCTATTATTATAAACCATAGAAAATATCATCAGAAGGACCAAATGGTGATTATCTAGCTAATACAAAAGATCACGTTAGATATCAATATGAAATAATAAAGTAAATAGGATAGGGTAGTTTTGGATAAGTATATGAAGTATTAGATCATAAGACAAAAAATACATTTGCTTTAAAAATAATAAGAAATTAGGACAATTTAAAAAAGTAAGCAACAGTTGAAACAAATATATTGTTAACAATTTAAGAGAAAGATCCAATGAACATATAAGCTATAGTTAAATTATAAGATCATTTTATATTTAGAGGACATTAATGCTTAGTTTTTGAGAAATTAGATTGCACTTTATTTGATATGTTGAAATACCAATTATTCAGAGGTTTTGATTATGAAACTTTAAAGAAAATTACCTATCAAATAGTTAAAGGTTTAAATTTTCTAAGGTAGTGCAATATTGTTCATTGTGATTTAAAACCAGAAAATATAATGATTAGCGACATTCAATAAAAAGTAGTTAAAATAGTAGATTTTGGAACTGGGTGTTTTGAAGGTAATTAATTTTATACTTATATTTAAAGTAGGTATAGCTTTTACAATATATTAGATATTATCGAGCTCCTGAAATATTTTTTGGTTTAAAATATGCTTATGAAATAGATATGTGGAGTTTAGCATGTATTATTGCTGAACTTCACACTGGAANTCAATAAATATGAACTTGAATTAATGTACAATCAATATAAAATTAAATCTCATAATAATTTTAACAGAAGTGTTGAATTAATGAAATATTCGAATCCTAAGAAATTGTCAATTCATTTAGATTTCGCAGCATTCAAAGCTGAATTATAGAATTCTTTACCTTCATCAACTAAAAAAATAAGTACCTAACCAAATAGTCCAAATGGAATTACCAAGAATATCAAAAGTTAATAACCTTTGATACTAGTATAAAGCTCCCATTCAAATTAAAATTTATTGTCTCCATAAAAGAAGAAGTAAACAGATTTAGAAAGTACTTTCAGCAGATTTCCTCTTCTAGTTGATTAATTTGTTAAGTTATACAATTTAAGCAAAAGTGAGATAAATGAATTGACTGGATTTAAATAAGTAACAATACTTGAAATATTAGGTCTATTATTATAAACCATAGAAAATATCATCAGAAGGACCAAATGGTGATTATCTAGCTAATACAAAAGATCACGTTAGATATCAATATGAAATAATAAAGTAAATAGGATAGGGTAGTTTTGGATAAGTATATGAAGTATTAGATCATAAGACAAAAAATACATTTGCTTTAAAAATAATAAGAAATTAGGACAATTTAAAAAAGTAAGCAACAGTTGAAACAAATATATTGTTAACAATTTAAGAGAAAGATCCAATGAACATATAAGCTATAGTTAAATTATAAGATCATTTTATATTTAGAGGACATTAATGCTTAGTTTTTGAGAAATTAGATTGCACTTTATTTGATATGTTGAAATACCAATTATTCAGAGGTTTTGATTATGAAACTTTAAAGAAAATTACCTATCAAATAGTTAAAGGTTTAAATTTTCTAAGGTAGTGCAATATTGTTCATTGTGATTTAAAACCAGAAAATATAATGATTAGCGACATTCAATAAAAAGTAGTTAAAATAGTAGATTTTGGAACTGGGTGTTTTGAAGGTAATTAATTTTATACTTATATTTAAAGTAGGTATAGCTTTTACAATATATTAGATATTATCGAGCTCCTGAAATATTTTTTGGTTTAAAATATGCTTATGAAATAGATATGTGGAGTTTAGCATGTATTATTGCTGAACTTCACACTGGAAAGCCGTTGTTTCCAGGAGAAAATGAAGTTGAACAATTTAATTTAATTATGGAATTAATTGGTATACCTAAACCTGAGTTTGCATTGAAATGTCCAAGAAAAAAGATGTTCTTTGATGATTCAGGAAATCCTAAGAAAACAATAAAATTATATAGAAAACCTAAATCTATTAATTTAAATGAATTACTTAAGACAACAGAAGAAGAATTGGTTGATTTCATCTAAAAGTGTTTAGTTTGGGAACCAGAACTAAGAATGAAACCTAATGAAGCAATCTAACATCCTTGGATAAAAAGTTTGACATTAAAAGAAAAAAATAAAGTAGTCCCTATTCGAAATTATAAAGAGAACTAAATAAATAAATTGACACAATAATAATTTTAGGAATCCTTTGATAAGAAAATCATAGGAAATATAGAGAAAACCAAAGCTTTTATAGCTCATAATAAAAATAATAGTTAACCCACTATTTTAAATAGTGCTAGAAATCAAGATTTATCTAGTTTTAGACAGAGATAATAGATGGTTTAATCTATCCATTAAATTCTTAGATAAACCTAATCTAAAAAGAGTTCATTTATTAGGAAACCGTCTATTGAATGAAAAAAAAGAGTGAATTATTTTATAAATACTCTAATAATAATAATAGTAAATAATTAACATCAATATAATCATAAATGATAACTTAATCTTTATAAAGGATGAGATAAATTTTTTAAATCTGATTGTATCTATTTGTTCAATAATTAGTTTTATTTGAGATATGGGGTATGATGACTATTCATAGATCTACTACTTAGTTAAAGACCAGATTTATTATCAAAAGGATTAGTGATACATCTGCTAATTTTATTAATTGGAAGTGTTGGAAATAATGCTGAATTTCTATGATTGGCAATAATAGAAGAAGATTAAGGAGTTGTTGTTTAGACATTAAGAGTAAGAGCTTTGTTGCCATTTATTTATATTTTTAATTATTCAGATTTTCCAGCTAAAAATTAGATCATCTTACAATCTTAAATTTTTAGATATTTTTCTTTTTTTAATTCAATTTAAGATTTATGAATTGATCTGATTACTATTTATTTAGGAGGAGTTTTACATGAAGGTGGTCTTTCCATGTTATCATATTCTAAATTAACAGGAATAACTACCAACAATTGTATCTTATTTAGTGAGTTTCCTCAATAAGCTTGGTTTTCTTGTGGTTCTTTTTTATTTTTTTCTTTCTAAGATATCAGCAAAACTTGTTAAAGCGAATCTTTAACCATCAATTTAGCGATGTTATTAAATAATAGTTGGTAGATTAGAAAATTGTTTTGCTGTCATTTCACCAAATGTATCTCCATATGCAGATTTTCTTCTTGGTTATTGTTATTATCTCATTAGAGTTATTTTTTCAATTACATTCTTTAATGGTTTTAAATTTATAATTTTCTTGCTTTATATTTTCTTCTCAGTTTGGATTGGATTTAGATTAAAGTCATCTGTATATCCTTTTAATAATCGAAGACAGTGTATTAATGAATTTTTTTTAAGTGTTTTTCTGTGTAAATCAGTCACATGAAGTTTTTGAGATTTTGGAGTTGTACACTATTACAAAACCAAATGACTTACTCTTCTGGCATTAAAAGGGAATTGAGGATAGTCACTTTGTTCTATTTAGTTAAGAATTGATACATGTGATATGGAGCATAAAATAAATAAATAATATTAAATATAATATTAATATCAACCCTTACGCTTACTTAGTCTCCATGCATTAGCATCTCCAAATTTGCAACTTAATGGATCTAATTTTTCTGATTTCTTAGTTTTTGAGAGTTATCCCATTTAATTATGAGCCTTGAAGTAATTTTCAGCAACTTCAATAAGCCATCTAGGTTCTAAGAATATATAATGAGAAATTGAATACCTATTTCACAGACTTCTCTCATATATTCTTTAGAAGTCATGACTAATTCATGATAAACACACCACAAAGGTCCTTTGTTAAATAACGCACTACTAGGATGTATATAGACTTATTAATTATCGGAAAGAGTTTTATATCCTTCAGCTTAATCCTATAAAAAATATTAAAAATAAATACTTTTTTAGCAACATGAAAGAAATAACCAGCAGTGATAGCTTTCCTGATTTTCCAAAAATCTTTTCCACAAGAAGTAATTTAGAATTTATATCTTTCCATAATTTATAATAATTATTTTCTTACATCTTAAGCTCTTCTCATAGATCTTGCTTAAATATAGTTTTCATGACACCAAACATTACTAAAATTGTTTTTTTTCCAATGTTCATAAACAGTTAATAAAGTTAGATGATCACCTTCTGGTCTATGAAATCTAGCTTTTTTTTAATCTGCTAACTATTATCTATCTTTAGGTCTATAGAAGATATTAGGTTCAGATAACATAGCAATAATTGTAATAATTTCATCAACACATCCTAAATCAACAGCTGTTAATAACATTTTAGCTTAAGGAGGTTCTAATGGAAATTCTGCCATTTTTCTACCTACTTTAGTTAATAATCCTTCATCATCTAAAGCTCCTAAAGCATATAATTATTCCATAGCTGCAATCATAGTTTAAACAGGTGGTGGATCCATAAAATCAAAATTTAATAGATCATGTATTCCCATAGCTTTTAATAATAAGATAGTATTAGCTAAATTAGTTCTTTAAATTTCTGGTACTGAAGTAGGTAACATTTCTGTATTAAATGCTTATTCAGTATATAATCTATAGCATTTTCCTGGTCCAGTTCTACCTGCTCTACCAGCTCTTTATTAAGCAGAAGCTTAACTTATTGGTGCAATGATTAATGAATCCATACCTAATTTTGGATTATAAACTTTGATTTTAGAGAATCCTGGATCAACAACATAATATATTCCATCAATAGTAATAGATGCTTCAGCAATATTAGTAGCTATAACAATCTTTCTTGCTCCAACAGGGGCAGGTTCAAAAATCTTTTATTATAATTCAGTAGGTAAAGCAGAATAAACTGGCAATATAATTAACTCTGGTGCATCTGGACCTAATTTTTTCATTCTTTCATGAAGTACTTGACATGCTGTATCAATTTCTTCTTATCCTGTTAAAAATAATAAAATATCTCCTGCTGGTTCTTCTAAATGAATTTATATAACACATAATTATGCAGCTTCTAAATAATCTTCTTCAGGTTCATTTGTAAAGAATACTTCAACAGGAAAATTACGTCCAGGAATTCTAAATATCTTGCAATTAAAAAAATAAGAAGAGAATTTTTCAGCATCTAAAGTAGCTGATGTTACAATTAAAGTGAAATCATTTCTTTTAGCAACAACTTATTTTAATAATCCAAATAAAACATCAGTATTAATAGTTCTTTCATGAGCTTCATCCAACATTATAACACTATATTAACTCATATCTTTATCTATTAAAGCTTCTCTTAATAACATTCCATCTGTCATATATTTAATAATAGTATTAGGACCTGTACAATCTTCAAATCTAATAGCATATCCAACTTCATCTCCAAGTTATACTCCCATTTCTTCAGCTACTCTTTTTGCTACAGACATAGCTGCAACTCTTCTAGGTTAAGTACATCCAATCTTCATTCCATTTCTACCATATCCTGCTTCCATCAAATATTATGTA